CGTTAGGTTAGCAAAAAACTTATTAATTGAATATGCCGATTGTTTATCGTTCATTTGGAGATTTGTCTCGGGTTCTACTAAAGCCACAGCGTTTTTCCTTGATCCAATTAATCTTCTAACTTGCTTCCACAATGCTTTTGGGCATAATCTATGCTTTGGTCGTACTTTTTTTATCATAAAACTGCAGCTTGGCCTTCTTTATCTCAGCTGAAGCTTGCCTACGTAATGATATGAAAAGCTCGGTTTTATTGTTTTTAAAAGCTTTATTTCTCTTATCCATCGGGGTTTTAATCTTTTGCGTCATAAAGGGTTTATCGTTGGTATGCTTTTTTATTATTCTTTCTGGAAAAACTCGTTGATAATCACTTTAGTAGAATGAAGAAAAGCATCAACTTTCTCATCGAGTCCTTAGTTGGAGAAAACTGCACACCAGTCATAGCGAAGAGCCTGGGAACGAGGTTGCAGTCATAGTTCTCTAAAAAGGACCCAAACTGTTCCATATTTGTATGGTTGACATCTCTCACTTTCACCCTTACTATATATATATTTCCAGCCTTTACTACGGAAGCGTCAGTTCTCGATTTCCACAACACTATGTTATGATCTGATGTTGATAGGGGTGCCAAGATACATACTATAACATATATACACACATAAAAATTTGTTTAAACACGTTAACCCTAACATCTTTCAATTATTTCCATAGGGGACTTGTAAGATTGAGACTAATACATACAGCATACAAACTATTTACATAATTATTACTTTAGATAATTAACAAACATAAATAAATAACCGTACAAACTGTTTACAACATTATTGCTTTCGAAAATGTAACTTCATTAGTCTTATGAAACAACTCATAGAATTGAATTGTTTTGCAAAGAGTTGCTCCACTATATTAACTGGAGGTCCTTTTTCTTAAATTCTGATTTGGGGAATGGAAGTACCAGATCTGTTTGAGAATTTCTTAATTGGTGTAAAATTGGACAATCACTTATTTTCAAAATATTTTCTTTCAGCTTTGGAGCAGTTTCATTATTTAAGATTTTGTAGATAAAAATGGATTTCAAGTATTTTCGTCTATTGTCAAGAGTTTGCCACCCCAAAGTTGCAAGAACATCGGCCGACCTAATATCATAAGATGCTCCTGTTATTACTCTAGCAGCTCGGGATTGACATTTTTGTAGATTTTCCTTTAAGACGATTCCACAGTTATCCAACAATTGACAGAGTGGTATCTTAACTTTCTTAATAATCATTTCAATATGGTGTTCGCAGTTTAATTTTTCGTCTAAGATGACACAGAGGCCATTTGTAGCAATTTAACCTTGGGACAGCAACATTGTTAATTAGGAACGGTATTCCTGGTTAATTAGGATCGGTATTCTTAATTGTTAATTAGGATCGGTATTCTTAATTTTATAAGGGAATGCAATAAACATACATTTAGATTTCTTAGGATGAATTTGTAGCTTATTATTCTCCATCCATAGCGTAACAATATTTAGGTCATAATTTATGTTGGCAATAAGATCATTTACACTGTGCGATGACGCGTAAATTTCCGTGTCATCAGCATACAGACCGGCGTGGTTTTTTGGAGACATTGTGGTAGGTCATTGATCGATGTAAAGCAAAAATAGTACCGGCCCCAGGATCGACCCCTTGGGGACCCTGCATTTTAATTTTCCAACAGAGGCAGTAGTATCCCATTAGCTACACATTGTGGTTCCCTATTCGTTAGATGATTCAAACCAGAGTAATTCATTACCGCTAATGCCAAAGTTGGATCTCATTTTACTCAATAAAATATTATGATTTATTGAGTCAAAAGCTTTCCGTATCTCTAAAAATACTATACAGTTTATTTTCCCCTCATCCATGTTATTTAAGATTTCGTCACATATTTTAATGAGGGCTGATAAGGTTGAGTGCTGTGGCCGAAAGCCATACTGATACTTTGAGAGAAGCTGAACACTTCCTTTTCAAAAACTTTACTCACAATTAATTGACAAAATAGAAATGGATCTATAACTTTCATATTTACTTTTATCTTCAGATTTGAAGATAGGAGTTGGCGGAGCTCGTTTCCAATCGTTAACATAAATACCGCTTTGAAGAGATCAATTAAAAATATACGTTAAGGAAGGGGGAATAATATTGGCAGCTAGTATTTTCGCTGGGATTGCGTCTAGGCCAGTGGATTTATTGGCTTTGAGGTTTTTCAAATTACAGAGAACACTACCAACCTTAATGAGAGAAAAATTAAATTTATTATTAGTTTGGGAATGGATGTTTGTGTCAGAGAACTCAAGATTTTCCCCACTTTTGTTTGGCGTATCATTCTCATCAGTCAGAGTACAGTCCAATGTCGATGAAGTGTTTATTAATATACGCTGCAAAGAGATTAGGGTCTGTAATGACATTTTCACCAACTTTAAGCTCACTAATGTAATTGGATTTCTTTTGTTTTCCTAGCAGAGAATTTATTGTAGACCAGTATTTTTTTAAATCCTTAATGTCTGCACATTCAGATATTTTGTTAATATCACTGAGAAAGTAGATTTGGTCTCACGTATTAGTTTATTAACTTTATTACGCAATCTGTTATAATTATGCCAATGCGAATCAGATTTTAGTTTTATGGCTTTTTTCTTATGGCAGTCTCTTCTTCTCAGAGCTGACCTTATTGCCGCTGTCATCCACGGAGTGGTGTATATTTCCATGATCTTATATCTCTAACAGGAGCATGTTTATCTAGTGTTCCGATAAAGAGTTCCTTCCACTTATTCCAACTCAAGTTTGGATCGTTTGTTGTGAAAATGGTTTGCCAAGGAATATTGATTAGGTCGGACATAAATTCTTTTTCAAAAAAGTATTTAAAATTACGAACTTTTTTAATAGTTGACCTACGTTTAAGTGGTTCGAATTTGTGAACTAGATATATTAGGCTGTGATCTGATATACTAACGTGAATGACGGCAGCATGAGATATTTTTTCAGGAACATTTGTCAGAATAAGGTCAATTATAGTGGCATGCAGACGTTCTCGCAACCCTGGTTGTTATATATAATAATGTATTTATAGATTGAAATCTGATTGTATGCGCTTCCGTTGGGGAATTAGCAACATCACAGTTTATATTTCCTAATAGAATTAGTTCTTTAATTGTTTTCAGCATCACAATTAAGAAGAAAAGTATCGTATGCATCAAACAGATCCGTACTTGAATTAGGTGGTCTATACCATGTATACCATGTACTAACTAGATCGAAATGACCTGTTGAAAGGTTGACTAATTTCGATACAGATCATTTCTAGTCAGTATTTGGAACTAATTCATTTCTAACCAAAATGGAGGTGTTTTTCAACATATATTATAACACCACCTCCATTTCTATTTCTATCTCTTCTAGCTACTTTATAACCTGGATTCGTATAAAAGTCCGCGATATTTGTAAAAATGAAATCGAGTATATTATTTATTATTCCGTGTCGGAGCTTTTGGCAACTTATTTAAAACTAATCGACTTTGTTAAAAAGTCGTTGGATTATAATCGCCCGAAACAATAAAAGCTGAGTTTGGACTTTCCGTGCAGAGTTTTTTGTAACAATTAATTATATGAAGGTAATCATAAAAACAGTCTATCTCACTTTGACTAGGTGGTACGTAAACACAGCATACCGCAATTTTGGATATTACTCTTGGTAACCATCTTGGACGTAACGTGACCCACTGACACTCAAACGAGGGATCATCCAAGTCCTTGCGAACTTTAAATGGTATTTCACTACTCCCCCTCCTGTACCATACGTTCTATCATTTCTAACCAATGTCATTCCGGAACAAGTTACAGCTTCGTCTGGAACAGTTTCCTTAAACCAAGTCTCAGTGATGCAAACTATATTGTCGATATCATTATTACCGACCAATATTTTCAATTCATCTATTTTGTTAATAATTAAGTGACCTTGCATTTAAAAACATCACATTTGGGAGAGGTTTCGCATGTTTAGGTTTATCGTTGTTCTTTTCCAAAGGAATATTAATTAAGTTGGATTTACGTATACTATTATAGTTCCGAATTTTTGAAGGTTTCTTGGCACGATCGAGGTTTTTATAATTTTGTTCACGATAATCGCCGAGCCTGAGGTGAATAATTGTTTTAGTATAATTTCATAGGTGATTATTTGGGGGAGGGGGATAAAGAATACACATTTCCTCGTCATTTAATTAACAAAACGGCTTCGGCCGCCATTTCAAAGTTAAAATCGCTTATATAGGTGATTATCGCGTTATAATCACCTCAATGGCAAACAATCAGCATGGAGAAATGTCAATAATCACCTATGTAATTATACTTATTATACATTTAGCCGCTGCATGCGTTTTGATTGGTTACCGATAGCTTACAGCTAAATATGGCAATCATAAACGCACAATACACATAACTCAGTTATCTGCTACCAACACATAACTCAGTTATCTGCTGGCAGATAACTGAGTCATGTGTAGGTTGACCCAGCGGTATGTAAATTTATAGCAATTAAGAGGCAGTTTAAATACAGGAATAAAAACAAGAAAAACCAACATGAACGAGTACGGCGTTTTCGTAAATATTTTTTGTGCAAAAAGCAGACATTGTGATATTTTATCGAAACTTTAAGCCCTGATTCCACGAGCGCTTTTTGTCAGCGAAATCAGCGAAATATTTCGCCTGTTTCTTTTGAATTGCGACCACTCGAATAAATTATTTCTGCTTGATCGGCTCACAATTCAAAAGAAACAGGCGAAATATTTCGCATTTCGCTGACAAAAAGCGCTCGTGGAATCAGGCCTTTAGTAGGTAAATGAGATATTTTCATATTTTTATGTTGTTATTGTTCTATTTTAAAATCGTTTTCAGTGCTCCTTTTGAGAACCAAACGTTGTTTTGTGAGACAAATAGTTGCTTGTCGAATGAGTTACTGTATAACAATGCAATATTTTATAAAACAGTTATTGAATTCGGTTTTTGTGATATACCGAATTATCAGGGTCACGGTAAGTGTTATTAATCTCGCCTGATGACACTTACTCGACTTTGATAACTCTCGATATCACAAAACCTCATCCAATAACTGTTCATTATAATCAGGTGGATGATATATATTGTGAATAGACATCAGTAACTTCCTTCATTTATTGTTGCATTTCCTTCCGTTATTAATCTACATGTACAGTAGCTACTTTTTTACGACTTCATGTAAATAATGCTGATCAAATTCTTTTTAATTGTACAGGTCTGATAATAATTGGATTTATGAAAGAAATGATATAAAGAACGAGCTGAGTGTTATACTTTGAGCCTGCCACACACGAGAGAAACTTGCTGAGCTAACCGCTAAGCTTCGCGTGGTGGCGAGCTCAGCTGTGCATTTTCACCGCACACGTTGGGAAAACCACTCAACAACAACATAATTGGCGTGAAATCGTTTGCATTTTCCTCCGTTCGCATTTTCCTCCAGCAGCTCAGCACTATGCTCACAAGTCACAACATCCACAGACGTTGAGATTTTTTCCTCGCGAGGTGAAAAATATCAAACACGAGAGATATTTTCCTCAAGGCCTCGAGAGGTCAAATCCTCACAAAACCTATCCGCACACTAAGAAAATTTTCTTGTTATTCTCCCAAGAAAATATTTTTTTATTTCAAGAATATTTTCTTAAAGTACATGTGACATGAAATTTCTTATTTTCTTAAATGAAAGAACCAGTGGCGGCGCCAGGGGGAGGGGGCAAGGGGGGGGAATGCCCCCTCAATTATTTTTTGCCCCCCCCCC